GCACAAGAGCGAGACGAAATTCTCTGTGTGACAACAGGATGTAACTGTTCAGATCAAGGAGATGGGAAAATAGCTTATTTGTCCATTTCCAGGTTCGACAACAGATGCTATAACTGTTTGCCACAGTTTGCCCACAGCTCCACCTGAATAATTATTCACACTCCTCGTGCCACGCTGGTGTGGTGGTCCCCAGGTTGCCGACGAAGATGATGGGTCTTCTTCGAAATCACTTTATGATTCGCTACCTTCTACGTCACTCTCAGAATTGTCGGTACTGCAATCTGAATCGAAGTCATTGATGAGCTGAAATATGTCAGAATATTCCAAACGACACTACCACATGTTACGATCGAACTTTGAAATTTTACACTCCACTGAATGCTTCCAGCCACGATGCTATTACGCTGTGTGTCGGTACGGCAACTTATGCATAAAGAATGCTAGCCTTGAACTCTATAAGAACAGGGCACATATTGTTTAGCAGAGATCTATATACGACACGTGAGTTTATATCACTCGTCCACCGTCCTCATTCCAGAAGTAGTACGTCATTTAGACTCCGATAAACTCTTTAGACATAACATCCGCTGTGTTGCAAACTTGCACAAGTGGTCATGCATCTGAATGCATTCAAGCGTTCCGAGAAACTATGAATTCTTGTAGAGAAATTAACAAAACTGGGGAATTTCTTATTTGGAGCCAGTGTAAAAATCTTAACATGTTTTATACAATCTGTAAATTACAATATCTGATTCTATATTCTTTCGAGAAAAAAACAGCGTTTATTTCGTTCGTTTATCACAGAAATTGCAGAAATAGGAGCAAATTTAGTAAGTGACTACAGTTTTTACGGATTTCTAATCGCGGGTATTTAAATTAATTCCGTACAGCTGCCCTTACCGGAATTTAAATGCCCGTAGGATAAAGGTTAATAAGAATGAACAGTATACCCCATTTCTTCTTGCATTAGCGCAATTAAAAACCACAAATAGCTCTGCAGTCTCCGAATTTTTTATCAGTTCCATAAATTTACTATGGCCGAATGGCATTCAGTATGAGCGTGTATTGCTCTTTGTGACTGATGCCGCAAGTTATATGATGAAAGCCGGTACTGCTCTTAAAGTTATATTTCCAAATATGACACATGTGACTTGCCCTGCCCATGGGTTGCACCGTGTTGCAGAAACAATTCATGCAAATTTTGTGCTTGTTGACAAATTGATGTCTTTAAATGCATACATATTTAAGGGATTATTAGGGCATAAAATTCCGGTCCCTAGTTATCATGTAGTTGATGCACAGTGCTCTTTTGTGGTAATTGTTTGTCCTAAGGTACGGTATACATGGTCTGACAGTAAAGTTCACAAATTCATCGTGGTAAAAGTTGCTGAATATCAGTGTGGTCGCCTTCAAAGTACTCACCTTGGGAAGCTGTGCACCGATGCCAGCACCTAGTCCACCCTTCAAAACAATTTTGGAACTGGTTTTGTGGAATGGGCTTCAGAGGTGCTGTCATATTACTCCTGATATCATCAGTGTCATCAAAATGCCATTCTTTCAATATTTCCTTTATCTTTGGGAACAAAAAAAATGGTACTTGGGGCTAGATGCAGTGAATAGGGAGGGTGTTCGAGCAGTTATTTGTTTACCAGCTGACAACTCCCTCACAGACTGCTGTTTGAGCAGATGCATTGTCATGATGCAAGGTCCATTAGTTGTTGGCAGAAAGTTTGGGTCATTTCTGCCGATGCCAGCACCGCAGCCAACAACAACAACAACAACAACAACAACACAGCTGTGAAACGGTGATACGCCAACATCATCAAACCATACTGAGATTTC